TTACCTTTTTTTTTCTTTTTTTTTTTTTTATGATACGACGACGTTATTGTTATTATTAATAGTATTAGTTTTTATTAGTTAAACTTTACGACCGTGTCTTTTTTTTTTCTTTTTTGGCTCGAACGTTATCTAGAAGTGGTGTGGCAAAGTCTTTTTGTTTTGGTTTGGTTTTTTTTTTGGAAGACGTTTTTTCTGGACTTTACACTTCTCGTGGCGTAGGGACGGGGCGGCCAAACGCATTTATTTTTCCTTTTATTTCTATCTTTTATTATTGTTATTGTTTTCTTTGTTCCTCGTTGTCGTTGGTGTTGTGTTTGCGATAGCCGCGGTCTGTGTTGATCTGAGGGCAGTTGGCAGGCGAATGATGCGACGGATGGCCTGTGTGCGGGCAGGGGCAGTGGCGGCAGGGGTGGGCCCGCGCGGCTACTCGTCTCGGGCAGAGCGAATTCGCCGGCAGGAGTTGTTTCTCCGTCAGCTGCGTCGCCTCATCATTCCGGGATTTTTAGCGTATGGCATGTTTGTTGCGCGGCCGCAGGAGGGACACTTTATCCGCTACCTGGCGGAGCGGCGCCACCATCAAGTGGACTTCAACCACCTTTTCCCCCCACTACCGGTGATGGGGGTGTCAGAAGAGCGGGCTGCAGCAGGAGCAGCAGGCGGAGGTGGAGGTGCACTGCGGGCGCAGGAAGGTGATGCGACTTGCCAGGGCCCCGTCGGGTGGAGGTGGGTGGGCTGGCTGCGGAGACACACACCTGGTGGCGGCGGTGGAAACGACGCAGCTGACGACGAGGCGCGGCTAGCGCGCAGGCGACTGCTGTTTGCGCGGGAGCGGGCGTACTCCGCTGACGGCGGCGAGGTGTTCCGTCCAATAGACGCGATGCAGCGGGCGGAGGAGTTGGCGTCACGGCGAGAGCACCCACCAATGCACCTTTTGAGTGAGCAGCTGCAGGAACTTATGAAGGCGTCCAAGGCGTATGCGGTCACCGGGGCAGTTGAAGGCTCAGATCTCATGCCTGTGCGTTTGGAGTTTCGTGATTGGATTTTCTTTGCAACGGCGGGTGTGGTGCTTACAGACAAGACAGGTAAATCCGTGCGTCGTCTGCGCTTTGTTGGTCTCTGTGGGATGATGTGGTGGGAGTTGTAGACACTTTTGTTGATTGTTAGCGTTTTATTGGTACGGCTGATTACCCGCATGTGTGCACCTCACAGGTTGTGAGGGAAGTCTCCCTCAACAAAAAAAAACACACCTTTTTTTGTGCTTTTATTGTTCCTCTGGTAATTTAGCAGTGCTGCTGTCTGCGTGTGCGACTACCCCGCACTCGTGGGTGGCGCTCATTTGTTGAACTCACAACCATCGCGGCAAGGCAGCGGTGACGGTGGTGGTGGTGGGGACGTTTTGTGGGGACCCGCGCTCTCTCCATAGAGGGCAGGACCCCAGCAACACAAGAGCAGCAAAGGGAGAAAGATGAAGCACGTCGATGTCACTGGAACACGAGACATGGGATCCGCACCTTTACCAACAATTCTGCGGGTATTAATACCATACGCTAGCAACATTAACAACAACATCACTGCTTATAATGGCGGTATCCTTCCGACGCCTCGGCCATCGTTGACGGCAAATTTGTTGTGAGGCTCCACTGGTAGTAGTAACGGTAACAGCAACAGCGGTAGCTCCTCAAACAGTTGTTTGCTAGTGAAGCCGACGTTGGACCCGTCTCTAGTCCGTTTGTGTCCAGAGGAATGCTGGGTGCCTGACGCGCAGGTGGTGACGTGCATGGGGCACGGATGTGACGTTTCCTTCTCACTGTTTAACAGGAAGCATCACTGCCGTCTCTGTGGGCGCCTCTTCTGTGCAGCGTGTTGTTCGCACGCCATCACGTTCCGCAATCACCACGGTGCCCCGCGCGCGTATCGTACCCCCTCTTGGACGGAGGGTGTGGATTTCACTGCGTCCCCCCTAGCTGGGCTGAATCTCGCCGGTGACACACCTGCGGGAGGGGACCCCAGCAGTTCGGGCTCTTTCCGCCTTTGCCAGTCTCAACCGCAGCTGCCCCGCACTGCCAGCAGCAGCAGTTACGACGCATCGTATTTGCTCTGCGTGCTACTACGAAATCCAGCTTGTTGCGCCGCGTCGCGATGAGAGTGGCAAGGCGCCGCGGCGAACTATAAGAATGTATCAGTGGCCGCTTCTTGTCAGGGTGCTCTTGTACTTGAGCACGCATGTCCTGCTGGGGCCTCGCGTGTGTCCGCCGACCTTTACTTCATGTTAGGGGGCAACGTGATTTGGTACCAGTATGATATGGCTGAGCGCCAACAGGGGGAGATGCAGCTGAGGACCCCAATGAGGCAGCAGAGTTTC